CATCAACAGAGGTGCGCAGCCGGAACCTGGAGGAGAGCGAGGGGGCAGTCGGTTCGATCATAGCACTTGTGTCTTGCATCATTGTTTCCGACAGACAACGTAGATCAATACACGGAAAATCCAGCGTACGAGCAAAAGCCACCTGTTGACTTGCTTTCGACAATGCGCGAACATTGAAGGTGGCTAAGTAGACAGGCTTTCGAGGTTTGAAAACAGACTTCGAAGTGTTTAGGGTTGTGACTGAACTCGTACGTGCAGAAGCTGCAGCTGAGTGTGATGAAGGGCGAGCAAAACAGCCAGTCCTAGAGCTGGGACCTGCGGAGAAAGTATTCAAATTTGGGTAGGGGAGGGTGAAAGCCTTTGGCTCAAAAGCCCAACCGCAAGGCAGCGGTATAGGACTGGAGATGCAAGTACATTACCATTTTTACGGAACACGTCGCCATACATGTTCCAACCCGCAACCTGGAGGGCCAGGAGACTGTGTTCGTCAGACCCCTACCCATGGACCAACCTGGTATGAGAGACCACCCAGTATAGCTCAATGGGTAGACGAGATACACAAACCGCCACACAACGGTAAGGTCTAGTCTCTTCGTGACGGTTCGATGCCACAAGTGACACAAATTAGCAAACGTGATTTGCGCCTTTGAAATTCGTGCACTAACTTAATCGAGCGTCGGAACTAATACAAATACCGAAGTGCTCAGCATTCCTCACAACCTCCAGTGTTCCTTGATTTGTTAGGGACTCATTTAGGAGTGCACTTTCTGAGGGATGGCTGTGCACCTTGTAAGTGCAAGTCATATGATGTAAGATAGGATGAAAGTGGTCAGTTTATTCAACATGGCTTTTACTTGATCGTCGTGTTCATACCAGTAACCATCTGAACACCTAGATTCCAACGTCCATTTCACTATTTGATCGATGATGAATTTGAACAAGAATGGAAAGTAATGATGTAAATATAACGACACAATCTTCTGAAACGTACTTTGTTGGGCGGGTGCGGATAACGGCACTGAGCAACCAACAAAATGGAATGCACACTTCAGGTCGAGAAAGACCAAAATGACCGAGCGTCTGCATTTGGTGGTCCCCAA